GCTTCCTTTACTGCAAGCCCCTGGAATCAAGAGATACGCCTAGAGTCAACAGAGAAGGCCAGCTGCCAGCCTATTTGTTAAACCTTGCAGAGGATCCAGTTGTGGAATCTCACTTGCTCGAAACGTTCTCCTCACTTTTGGTTCGTAGACGGCTCCCCTTTGACATGGTCACAGGGAGAGGTTTTGGTGGCTTATGGAGTATAGCAGCTTGCGCTGTACTCGAGAAAAGAGCACGCCCTTCTGCAACTGAGTTCGCATCAACCGGACTTGCAATCCTGTGTATGAATGCCTACCCGAGACGTCAAAGGCGTTCCTCAGCGCTCACAACGGAATCAAAATCAGCCATGCTCACTTTGATGAGTGTACTTGGTGCATTGTCAGCCATGGCTATGATTTCGCAGGATTTCGGACATGCTGCACCCGGTTCCAGTGCAAGTTCGAGAAGTCGGACCCAGAGAGCGGTAGTACATATTCTCCACCAAGCATTGAGACTGGTGAGAAGTCGTGTCGGTAGCAAGGAAGCCGCGTTCCCACTTCTACTGGCATTGTTTCTGTCTCTATCCCCCAGAGCGGCGCACGAAGCCACTCGGCTCCGACTGAAGGCGGCGATAGACGGCTTCGGACGTGGTCTGAGCCTGGGGAGAGCCCCAAGCACGGGCAACAATGACAGCCAGCTTCTCGACACCACCGTCGACTTCACCTGCTCGATTGCTCACTGTTGTGGGAGAGCCACCGGCCAGCCATCCAACTCGTACTTTGCCAAAGTCTGCGAACTCATCGATACCCTTGAAACGCCAGGGTTCGCAAGATTGAGAGGCAACGGTGCCTTTGTTTTGGCCCACAAGACAAACGATCTACGCGATCTTGTCTTTGCAGAGACGTTGAAGAAAGACCTGGCCGAGAAAGACGGCATGGTTGTAGCCAAGGGCAACTTTACAGGGTTTCGGTGGGAAGAAGGCATCAGCGAATGGATTGCAATCAGCCCGTTGGCAAGAAGGCAAGGAGACTTCACCCGAGAAGCCCTACCTCGGCGCCGAAGCGGAGGACGTATCAGTGACGTCCGGGTCCTAGCGGATCGATCGGAGCTGAATTCGACCACGGAAGGAGCCGACAAAACCGGGGCTCTGGTTTTCGCAAGTCCTAGACCGACGGGTGAGTCAAATGGTGACCAAGTGGGCCGACGACTGGCGGGGAAGAGGAAGAGGACACAAAACGAGGATCATGGCAGCCGCAAGAGAAACTCGGGCGCTGAAATCGCGGGAATTGACGGAGTTGACGGTATTGACGAGCTTGGCATGGGTCCAGAGAACTGGCCACGGGTTCTGGGCAAGTCCCGATTGGGAAGCCATGTTGTAGGAGCTAGGATGCGGGACGGGTGCCGGCGGGTTATCCGGAGCAGCGAGACATGCTCTCGCAGGGTTTTGGCGGACTTGGGCGAGCAGGCCGCCCTCAATGACTGCGGTCTCAACGACGAGGATGAGCTGGGATTTTAATGACAACTGCAACAAGTAGATTGGGTTGGCCGTGTCAGTCCAGTCCGTTGGGCATGGATATGTCAGTAGCTTTTGTGCGAGTCAACAGGGTGCAAAATAGCCACCAGCTGCGTTTCAGATCCTTGCCAATGTGTGGAGTTAAGACTGGAGACATGGCATGGGGTTGTCCCCGATGTGGACCTTGCCTTTCTTCTTCTTCTGTCGCCTTCATCTCCAATCAATATTCACTTGACTTGCTTATCCGACATTCTCGTAATGGTGCGGCAGGCCCGTGGCGGCGCGAGCAAGAAGATATCTTGACATTTCAGAGTGATTGGCCAGCGGCACATGCGTATTAGCCCCTCGAAATGGAGGACTTCTGACACATGAGCTCGCAGGTAGTACGACTGCAATCATAGAAAGATCCGAAGGGAATATCCAATTGCAACTGACGGGAGACCAAGACCGTTTGTCGCAATCAGACGGTTTGAGCTGTCCAGATCTTCAGACAAAGTTTCCGTAGCAGACGTGATGCGTTTCCTGTCAGGGCGATATGTTTTGGTTATGCGCTAGGTCGACTGGCCGCAATATCACTGAGGATAAACGGGCCGTTCAAGCAACTGATAACAATTGGAAACACCAGGAAACGGTTGCAGATCACTGAGGCTAATGGCGGGCACCGGGGCTCATTCAATGGATCATCATAACCTTGAAGAGGGCTTTGAACTTTGAAGAGGGCAGTACCGCGTGGATTGCTGCGATAAATTGAAATGGATGTCCATACACACTAGTCTATTAGTATCCGAACGTCATGCCGTGCGCTGGAATGACAATGGCAGGGATCTAGGGGACTGCTTGGCCACCCTGAAGTGTTGTCAAGATAATCGCACTGAAGACCCCAAATAGCTCTCTTCTATCATTGGGATGTAGGCGGTAGATAGCGGCCCATAGAGGATAGACTCGAGGGCTGAGGCATGGTAAGCTGATGTGCCTCGCTCTCAGGGATACATACAAAGCCTGGGCCAGCAAAGGGAGGCAGCGATTGACCAAGCCGCGATTCGAGACAGGACTACGACTCTGCACTTGAGGATTCGCAATATATTACGCACACCACAAGCCGCATGCTTCGCTGTGGCAATGGCATGAAACTTTCAGATTCTCTTAATCGTGAGCACGTTTGGAACCAGTGCCCTGAGGTGGAGATCGACGTGCTAAGGCAGCCAGGGCAGCCGGAAGGATGTGTGGACAGACAGCATGTCCGCCAGCGTTGCGTTGATAGACTGGACCCGCTGGGATCTCCAAAGTCTACCATCTCACTCGTCTCAGAATGCGATCCAATGGCTGCGGCGGAGTGGCTGCGGCGAACGGTCAACCTGTAGTCGCGAAACAGCCCAACTGGACGTCGGCTTGCTAGTGAACGAAGCCATCTACAAATCAATTTCGCGCTGAGGCTGGGGCGTTTCTTCTTCCGCTGTATCGTCTGAGTCAAGGCCCGCGCGGGCGAGGACCGAGAAGATGACTTATCCCATGTTCATCGATCATGCAACATTCAGAAATTGTACCCGACTGAAACGTCATCCCAAGAGCCCAGGGCGAGGGGACTCTGGTGTATCGTGTATACGCGCATTGCTAGGTATAGGTAAGTAGGCACGCCGGTAGACGGCAACGACAGCAAATGGCAAACACTTGCTGTCGCCGGTCAGATTCCGAGGAGTGTCACACTAGAAACCGACTTGGAATTTAGCAACGAGGCATTGCCGATTTCTGCGGCTTGACAATGATATTCTGGAAGCGCAGCAGCGCACTTGACGTACACAGAATGATTGACGGGAGCATGTTTGGCCAACCTAGGTACCCTTTCAGTTTCCCCAGGATTGGTGGGCGTTGAAACCTCCGAGCTGAGGCTGGTGATAGGCTGGGCGGAGAAGGTTGAAAAAAAGAAAAAGGAAAAAGAAAAGAGAAGTAGCAAAAGACAAAAAGAAATATGTTGGAGACCAGTAAGGATCAAGGCATATTTTCTGTCGCGATTGAAGCTTCGCGTGGATTACATAGCCACACATGGCCAGTCAGTAGCCTAGGTGGCCGATGATCCGAAGTTCGCTCACTTACACAGTAAACAAACACGAAAAAGGCCACCGTAATAATACCGATGCGGAATGTACGGAACGACAATCAGCATTGACTCTTGGCAAAGGAAAACATCTTTAGCGGGATACGGGCGAGTTGAGCTGGCAAAGGTATGGCGGGCCGGGGGATCTGTGTGACTCCAGATGACGATACCTTGCAGTGGTTCAGGCAGTGACTGAGGCCGATCGCAGTTTGTTTTCGTTGTTTGCTCGCATCTCGCATCAGCCCCAAAGCTACGCCGCCACGCCGCTTCTTCGGGAGAATGCTGCGTTGTGCAATGGCCTGGTTCTCGTTGGTTCTCGTTGGCTTCCGCCGTGCGTCAACCCCCACTCTCCCGCCGTGTGGTCGACCACATCTCACTGATCCCAGACACGGCACGTCGCAGATGGACAAGTATAGCCGAGGGGATCGGGTCAGGTTGCTTCAGACAGGCGTGAAGTGGGCGGCGAGTCGCTCGTTCTGGCTATTTTAGTCGAGTGTGACGATGTTGTGCAGTGATCTGGCGCCTGGGTTGGTATCAGAAGACCGGACGAAGGGCGCAAAGACAGTGGGCAATGAAGATGCGGATGAGACGCGGACCCGATCGATGGGGCATTCGGTAACTCCTTGTGTAGTGGTGTGGGAGTGTTTCCTGGATGTGTCCTGGATGCGCTCTGTAAGATTGGTTCAAGCCCTCAGTTTCGGGGCCATGGAGATGTTCGACTGCATAGGTAGGTGGTGGCTGCGGGCCTCCACCGGTGCTTCCTTGGTGTGACAGGACCGAGACGCACAGGTACCAGCTCCTGCGTCTTTCCATCTCGACTTGCGCGATTGGACGCGTATCTTAATAACAGATTGGCTGTTCGGAGATCAAGGCCGGTGGTGCCAAGTCAGAAGTTTGCAGTGTTGGTGGGATGGTGGGATGATGGGGAAAAACAGGGTAGGGCATCGGTTGTTTTCGCAGTAGGGCAGTCGCAGCCGGCCGGTTGAGGTACCTGCAGCGTATCTTAGGATATCATAAGTACGTACACTAGTGGTCCAGCGCCGCTACCTAAGCATCCCCGTCACCCGTGAGAAGCTCCGCCGGGGCTCCGCCTTGATTGGCTCAGCGCAGCCTTGGACTTGAGAGCGGCTTGTTTCAGAGGCTTTCTGAAAAAGTGGATTCTCAGATCGTTTTTTCTTTCCTCTTCCAACGTAGGTATTCACATACCTACGCCTACCTGTAAGGTATGGCGTTAGGTAAGGTAAGTTCCCTCCCTCGCTGGCAGCCTGCGTGCCTGCCACTGGACAGACGAGAACATCCTGTCGGTGCAGTTAGCACTGTCAATCAAACCCCGGGTGGGTGTTGGCTCTGACATATTCGTACCGACACAGACGGACTGTGCCCCAGGATACGCGCAAATGCTATTGATATCTAGGTGGATGGAAATGACAAGAACAGACAAGAAACACAAGAACACCATCTTTGCCTGTGCCTCGGCGTCGTCTAAAGAGTTCAGGTCTAAGAAAAGACACGTCGGCTACGGCTACATCGTATAAGAGAAGCACTCCTGGAATCATCCCCTGGATGGGCGCGCCATAAAGTTTCCCCTCTTCGGATACCCTTCCCTTTGCGTGTCGTGTCTTAGAGAGTGCTCCGTATTCTGTACAGCAGAAGTGCTTGTTCGTGACTTGGCACACAACTTTAGCCATGTGTTTCGTTGCATGACTGCTGGCATGCTATGAATAACGGCGAGTCGGCGACACCATTGTTAAATGAGCCTTGACCCGGTGTGCGTACGGCGTGGTAGCTGGCAATGGTCGATGGCGTTAAGTTAGGTTGTGTGAAGTGTAAAGTGCTAACCCCTGACTATCCGCCCAGCATTGGCCATTCCACGACACCAGCTCACACCTGCAAGGTACGAACGAATCTTACAACCAATCAGCTTCACAACCGCCAGGCTCAGCCAGGATTAGGTGCCATTGGAGCCAGGAAGGTCACGCATCATAAGGCAGGGCGTGGAAGAGACCGACAGACCGACAGAGTTGTGTTAGAGACAGATAAGGGCCAGAAAAAACACCCGCGGCCACGGCATCGTGGAGGCCTGAAGGGATCGTAGGTAGGGCCCTTGCCTTGCATCAGCATGGTATCTAGTCAAGTAATCCGTATCGTCGTCGCCCATGCTTCGAAAATGGAAATGGAAATGGGAAGTTGGAAAGAGAGGGGGGACTTGAAAAACAGTACGTACTTCCAAGTTTGTGCCTTTCGGGCAACCTGGAACCTGGATCCCCACCCCTTGCGCATGCAAGCCCCTGCGTCGTGGCTCCCTGATCTGCTGCAGTACATACGTTCTGCCAGTACGTACTTCCAACCATGATAGGTAGTCCCTCGTCTACCCCTGCCGCCTATCGTCCTCTCTTTCTCACCTCAATGTCATCCCGTGCCTGTCAGCGGCCCTTGCTGCCCTGTTGGGTTCTCTGCCTCTTCTCTGGCCCTTCTCCTTACAACTAAGAAATCCCATCTCTCAGCTCCTTTGGTCACACACACACACGCACGCACACCACGCACTCCCAAGCGCGCGCGCACCCTCTCGTCCCCTCCAACTGCCGTGCAAATGCCGCGTACGAGATGGAAGTTCAACTCCCTTGCCGATGTCACCCCTGTTTGCCTGTCAACATGCACCCTGCAATCGCATAGTCATGCCCTGCCCTGCATGTCCCGAGGGCCGCGCCTCGTCTCGACTTGACTTGGCCAGAATCTTGCGTAATGTCATGTGTTCTCTGCTTCCAGATTGACAGCGCCCACTGTGTATGCATCCGTACGAATGCTCCATAGTCATCGGGTGGGATATCCGTAGCTGGCACCCTGCCCTTGCGGTCTCGTCTCTTATGACATGTACATACTTCGTATCCTAGGAGAACTGTGGACGAAGTGCCTCAGAGCGACTAGGAAGCGCTTCCTTTTCTCTCTATCTGGGGACATCCACATTTGCGGAGAGAGCAGTCTCTCCTTGCCTTGCGGAAAACGGTGTTTTAGTCTCCATCAACTGGGCCGTATCAGTTCACACACCTCCACTCACATACTCTCGGGTAACGGCCCACACGGTGCAGCCCTCCCAGAGAGGATCCAGGAACGCACCATCTTGGGGCCCGGGGTCGACTAATTCCTAGTCGGACTCCCCTTTGCCTTGCGCAAGTTCGGTCCAGTCAATCCTGTCCAGTTAGTGAACGTAGGTACCTAGACTAAGGTGGATTGCAAAGTACCTGACTATGTACCTCTGTGGTGTGTCTGGTATCCGTACTTACCTTTACATCACTGATATCTCTCGCCTCTTATTCCTCACAATTTCTGCTCCTTCTCTCCCCTCTCTCTCTCTTTCCTTCCACTCCACGGCCATTTGTTCCCTTCTCGTCCTTCCCTTTCACAAACTCCCTCGTCCTACCAGACTTGGGTTGTCAGCTGACGTCTCTCACCCAAAGACGTCCAATTTCTCTTTCCACTGACGCCAGTTCTGTTATTGCATTGACTGCACTTTTTTGACGCTTCTTTCCACTGGCCCACCCCTTTTGGAAGTACCCATCGTGCCGGCTTCGAGATATATTCCAAAAGACGGGAAAGAAAAACGACAATCCCCAACAGATATATACGACTTAGTGTCTGGTTAACCGCCTTGACCAATCTCCTTGTAGGCGATTTACTCTCGACAACGCGCAAACGAGCTACCTTCTCTTTCGACTCCCAGTGAATTTGCTGTGCAACTTGGGGGATATTGGAAGTAGGACAACCAATCACGACGACGGGTCAACAAAACCTCACACTCTCTCTTTACCTTCTGGTCTAAGCCTTTCATATCTTCGAACTCAACCTTCGCCATGGCCGCTGGAGGCGCAACGAAGTCTCCCGAGGAGCAACAGGCGGCTATCGATGCCGCCAACGAGAACGTCTCCCTCTCCAACTATCTGTACTACATCTGCGCTGCCATTGCCGCAGCCGTCATCATTTGGAGAGTATGGACCGTCATCGTCAGATATGTTCGTACCGTTGCCTGTCTCAACAACGACAACCAGCGCTACTTTGCCCAGTCAGACTCCAAGGTCTCCTGGATGAAGAAGAACATCCTCTACGCCCCGGTCATGAGCAAGCGCCATAACCGCGAAATCCAGCTCAGTTCTGCCATTAATGTCGGCACCCTCCCCAGCCGACTCCAGCTTCTGTTCCTCACCGGTTACTTCGCCACGAACATCGCTTTCTGTGTCATTAACATCCCCTTTGCCGGCTCTTTTGCCGCGGCTGCGTCGCAGCTGAGAAACCGAACTGGTACCTTGGCTGTTGTGAACATGGTGAGTCGTGAACAGCTTATCCTGATGAGCGAGTCTCAGATATCAAGGAAACTTGTGCTGGCCAGGCCTGAGACACCACTCGTACAGTGAACACTAACCGGATGGTAGATTCCCTTATTCCTGATGGGTGGCCGAAACAACCCTTTGATTCCCATGCTTGGCATGTCCTTCGATACTTTCAACTTGTTGCATCGTTGGTTCGGCCGTATTGTCATTTTGGAGGCTCTTGCTCATACGCTGGCTTGGATGGCCAACACTGCCAATAAGAGCAGCTGGCAGGCAGCTATCACCTCAGCAACGACCGTTCCCTTCTTGCTCTTTGGTTTTGTTGTAAGTGGGAAATTGCCCTAAGTCAAACGATGTCGAGGCAATGAGACTAACCTCGATGAAAGGCCACTTGCGCATTCGTGGCCATCGGAATCCAGGCTTCTAGCCCGATCAGACACGCCTTTTACGAGACGTTCAAGCTCCTTCACATTTTGCTCGCTATCACGGCTGTTGTTGGTACCTGGTACCACTTGCAGATGAAGGCCCTGCCCCAGCTCAAGTACATGTGGCCCGTAATCATCTTCTGGGGCGGTGATCGCGTCTGGCGTGCCTGGAGGGTGTTTTACGGCAATGTCGGGCACGGCGGCAGCAAGGCCCTCGTCGAGGCTCTTCCTGGCAACGCATGCCGTGTTACGGTAACGATGGCTCGACCCTGGACCTTTGGGCCCGGCCAGCATGCCTACATGTACATGCCGTCCCTCAGCCTGTTGCAGTCTCATCCCTTTTCCGTCGCTTGGAGCGAGGAGGCTGAGGATCCTATGGCTGAGAAGGGGTCCCTTAACCGTCAAGACATTCTCGCCATGCGCAAGACCACCATGTCCTTCATCATCCGCGCCCGCACTGGAATGACCGACACACTGTATCGCAAGGCCGCTGCTTGTCCTGAGGGCAAGATGACTACGACATGCATGGTGGAGGGGCCCTATGGCGGACTGCACAGTATGCGCTCTTATGGTACGGTTATGTTGTTTGCTGGCGGTGTTGGCATTACTCATCAGGTACCTCATGTTCGCGATCTCGTCGCCGGCTATGCGAACGGAACTGTCGCCGCAAGAAAAGTTATTCTCATCTGGACCATCCAGAGTCCTGAGCATCTCGAGTGGATTCGTCCTTGGATGACGGAGATCCTGGCCATGGAGAAACGCAGAGATGTTCTCCGAATCATGCTCTTCGTCAGTCGGCCAAGGTCAACCAAGGAGATTCACAGTCCTTCGTCTACTGTTCAAATGTTCCCTGGACGCCCCAACATCGAGACGCTCATTAAGGCTGAGCAGGAGTCACAAGTTGGAACCATGGGCATCAGTGTCTGCGGTCCTGGCGCTCTCAGCGACGAGGTGCGCCGCGCCGTTCGCGACCGCCAGCATGATTCAGCCATTGACTTCAACGAAGAGGCTTTCTCGTGGTAAGATGGAAAGGGCATATTTGCGCAACTGCAGCAGAAACGCAATAGGGTTTCGAGTGGTTTTGCATCAGGTGACCTCCATGTGTTGTGAAGCAATACATGTCAACACAAGAGCAAAGGGTGAGTTATTAGGATGAGGTTACCGTACCTACCTGGCCGAGGCACAACGGGTTAGTTCAATGTATATATAGGGGATCGATTTAGACCGTAGTTTTATGTATATGTGATACCACATATTTCACACATATTTCATGTATCTAAGAGACATAGTGGGGAATCCCGTGCAAGATACGTCACTGAAACCCGGCCTACCTTACTCCGTACCTTACCTTCCCTTCAGGTAGGTATCCGTAGTGTGCTGTTTCCGAGGCTTTGCTTAATGTACCTAGCTTGCCTTACCTAAGGTACCTATCATCGTCGGAATGTCACCAGTGCACTCCCAGTGCCAAGTCCCCTGTCGACCATCCCCGGCTTCTTCATCGACCCCTCCTTCCGCCGTTGCCTTTCGTCAGCTAGACAAGCTGCTGCCTTTCTAACCCTTCCCCGTCCTCCGCATTCTTTGATGAATAAATCTTTTGAATTTGTACCCTGACGGCCCAAGACGGAAACAGCCAAATAGCCAACAGGTCTCTAGGCTTAACTGAGCACACAGTCGAAAAGTGGCCCAGCCTGGCCCCAGCCTGGCCCCAGTGCTTCCCTCCGAGGCCCAGCTTAGCTCGGTCCCCATTCCAAGGAAATCGAACGTTGCTGACGTCCGTCACACAGCGGACTGGTGATTTCAGGAGGGTCCACGGCGGGCGCGCTTCAGAGGGCTATCTTATCTCTCCTGTCTCCCTCAGCTGCACCCTCACCTCACCTGCTCACCTGAGCGTTCGCCGCATCCATCCGGCCTGGGCACATATCCCCCTCCCGTCTCCCGCACACCCGCCTGCCCTACGCTCTTTTTCCGGACTTCAAAACACCTACCACGTCAACCAGGGAAACCTCCCTTCCACGTTATCCTCATTCTGTCCTTCGGTAAAGCGCTTCGAGGAGGAAGCTCTCCTTCTTTTCTGCAGCTTTGCAAGAAGCATATCGACGACAGCACCAAATCCGAAGCTGCCTGCCGCTATTGAGTGGCAAGGCTTCGCGACCAGTCACAACCGTTCCATTTCCCACCGTATCCTGCCTGCGCAGGAGGAGACTTTGCACATAATGGGGTTAGCGTACAACACGTACTTGAACAGCAACAAGGTCTATGGCTGCAAAACATGCAAGGCGCATCTGTCGAACCATGAAGATATCATAAGCCGGGTATGGTTCATCAGGATATTCTCTCCTCCTTGCTCTGCATCGCATGCTCCAACAAGCTTTGGACCACGCAAGCAGACATCGCCTCTACCTCTCTGGTAGCCATCTATGTACACGCGCTGACAAGTGTGTCAACAATAGAATTTCCGAGGCCAGCATGGCAAAGCATACCTATTCAACAGCGTCGTCAACATCGAGACAGGCGAGCCCAGCGAACGAAACATGACGACTGGACGACACATCGTACGCGATATCACTTGCAAGCAGTGCAAGGAGACCGTTGGCTGGAAGTACGATAAAGCATACGAGGCTACGGAGAAGTACAAGGAGGGCAAGTTTATACTTGAGGCTGAGCTTCTTTGCAACGTCACCTAGACCTTTCGCGTGACAAGCAAAGCTCCCCCAAGGGGAAGGGATACTATGTTGAGATATGGCGTTTGAGCTTCAGTTCGTCGGGTTCTTGTTCGGGGGCAAAGGCACCATGATGCCTTGCATACGGGCGGCGTTTCTTGGTGTATAGGACGGTCTTCATTTGGGGCCGATCGCAGCGCCTGGCCAGGCAATCGGGTTTTATCTGACTCCGTGAGAGTGGCATATACCTGTCAGTTGGTTGTCAGCCGATTCCACAAAGTCTGTCAGCATTCACACCTCCCGCTCAACCAATAAGTTAGGAGATCTTTACTCGGGGTTGCTGGGAAATATGGCATCGGGTTTTCTCATTTAGTCTTAGTTGAAGCACAATAGAGACGGTTCGTGGAGTGCAACTGCGCCATATCTTTGAGTGACTGATTCTCGCACGCCTAGAATACAGCCGCTTCCATACCTGATCTAAATCAAGCTACAATCTAGAGCAGAAACTCTGGCCATGGGAAGGAGCCAACCGCAACCCCGCTGACTAAACCGTACTACGCCCCTTCTCTTCACTGGTGTTCGATGGGTTCTTCCGGAAGTAGTTCCTCCACCTCTTCGTCAGGGACAAGAAATTGGAAAGGGGGTTGCACAATTCCGTTGAAGAGGAAGGTAAAGTAGACAAGCAGGCCAAATCCAACGACTTGCAGCCACTTAAAGGTCTCCCAACGGAGCCCGAGGGAGACGATCCAGATGAAGAGAGTTCTGCACGTATCGATCGTAGATCTCGAGGTAGCGCTGACGCTTCTGGTGACGGAGAGACCAAAGAAGTTGAAACCACTGATACGGCGCGCGTTAGTAAGTCGTCTGCTTGTCAGGTAAAAAGTATGAACGTACCCGATACTGATCATGATCAGGATGCTGGAAATCCCGATGGCTCTGTTCTGCGTAAGTTGCCTCCAGCCCTCGGCCATGTCGAAGTATCCGTAGCGTCCAGCATCGGTTTTCCCGATGGCCAGATGCAAGACAATCATGCCAATGACGGTGACAGTAAAGCCGAAAAGACCTTCGAATCCAACGACACGGATAGGTTCGATGGATGACCTTTCCAGAATCCATTCCTCCAAAACGAACTGTGTCGCAGTGAAGATCTGCGCGCCGGCAATGAGGAGAACACCCACAACCGTCAACAAGGCGTTGGACTCGGGGGAGCCTTCTTCGACGTCAGCCTCGTTCGTGTTCTCATGGTAGATGGCACCAGCCAATCCAACGATTGCGACGCCCGTGACAACGCCGACGAGGGACAGCCATTGGAACAAAAAAAGTCTACGCTTGAGGAAAATGACGCTGAACACCCCGACGAAGAGAACGAGGGCGCCGCGAGTCATTTGGTAGATGGAGGCCGCAACCAACAAAAGACCAATGTTCATCAGCGTTGTACCGAGAATATCGCAGATGGCTGGGAGCGCCAATAGCAAAATACGAGGCCCGCGCAGGATAGCACCGCTTTCCTCTTCTTGAGGCTTCGGGCGTCCGTCCACGTTGCCGACAAGAGGAGCATCTGCATTATCGGCATCATTCGGGTTGACGGCCTCGTAGCCGTTAGCCGTGGGGTTCGCTCCGGGTCCATAGCGACGATACAGGTTCATCAAACCGATGACCAGCCAACAACCCATCTCTCCAACAAACATCTGTGCTGTCTGCAGTACAGGTTGGTTAAAGTATGCCCGTTTCGTGGGGTCCTTCGCATCGCAGTTGCGGACGCATTGCATATCCTGTGGGGGGAAGCTGAGTTAGCATCTGGTTTCCAGGAGCCAAGGAGTTCCAACATACCTGGTACTTTGTGAGAAGGGTATTGCAGACGCCTGTCAACAGCATCATGCCGACAAGAAAGGGAATAAGGGCCCGGGAAGCCATGATGAGCGAACTGTCGAACTTGACCGGCGAGACGACTGTGGGCAGGTGGAGTTGTGAGAGACGAGATGATGCAGAACCAAAGGTATCCTTTTCCAGTCACCCCTCTAATTGCGTTATGATACGAGACTGCTTTGGGGAAACACGCAGCCGGAAGAGGCTGGAGGAAAGGGGATTTGTTCTTTGGACAAGCACAGCAGCCGTCGTTGTCGAGATGAAGGTTGATGTAGCGGCCGTATTCATCTGGACGTGGCGGAGGTGTTGAGCTGAGTGATGGAACGAGCCGCTTATCAGTGGGTAAGGTGGACGCCGGTGGTCTTGCTCGTACCTCGGGTACTTCCTGTGCTGTGTTCAGGTGTCAGAGTACCTCAGCAAAGTCGATGTCACTTCCGCAACCCACTCGGCTCCCCAAAATGGACGCACGCGGCCCCGTGCCTACCTTATGCACCTTCTGACCTCCACTCCCTTTAGCGTCCGGGTTAGGTAGGTAGTTAATACGGAGTACCTTAGAGGCTTTTGATTGTTTAGCGTTCTGGAGCTGGTCAGGCGTCCATGTGAGACTCTGACGGGTTAGCCTCGATGTTAACCATCAACGTGGGTTGTGGGCCATGGTAAGCCAAGAGAGTAAATCAACCAAACGAAAATTTCTCTCACATCAGTTACTGCCCCGTCACCGTCAGTGAAAGAAGAGAAGGAAAACCCCAAAGTCATTTGAAAGTGGTCGGCAGCGGATTTGTTTCATCAAATCTGGTGAGTATAGCAAAGCCACTCTAACCTTGAGTGGAATCTGATATAGGCCGTGCAAGCGACATTGTTCAGAACCATGTTATCTTCAGTTAATATATGCATTCACCTGCCCGCTAGGATCTCTATGAGGTGCATCATAACTGGGAATCATCTTGTGCTCCTGACCATTGACAAAAATCAAGTGGCATCGCGGGAAGGATAAACATCACTTTCAGCAAATAAAGATGTCATTGCGTATTGTATTACTCTTCGTGTATAGGTATCTCGTCTGTGGCTTAATCCCACGTTACTAGCCTATTTCTTTTCCTTGGGCTTCTTGTCCTTGATGTTGTTGTAATGGTGAACTCCCATCTCCTTATCTTTGGCCAGACGCTCCTCATCTTCTTTGCTGAGCGGCACGCCTTCAATGCTCTTCACTTTCTTACCCTCGAAGAACATCATCAAGCCTCCTATGGCAGCCGCCAAACAAGCAAGCGCAACGAAAAGACCGGTGGACCAACTGGGTCGATCGAATCTGTTCATTCCCCACATGAAGCCGGAGAGAACACACTGCAAGAATGTGTTCCACACATTGAACCAGATGACGAAGTCCATTTTCCAAATTGCTGTGGGAGGTGCTCGAACTCCAGTGAGGGGAGCGTTTGGAATAGCTTTCTCGGGGTGCGGAATGTGCAACACAGGCCGTTCGTTTGCCAGCTCCGTGACGTTTTCGGGGCCAATATGGACAGGGAGTTGGTCAGACCCAGGCAAACGGAACCATCCGCGGTGTATACCCGCAAGCCGGCCAAGAGCTTCAGGTTTCTTCAGGATGCGATACTGCATCAAGAAATACAAATCACGGAATCTCCACGGCGCCAATCCGAATCCTGTGACGCAGAACAGAGCGTTCAAAATCTGTGAATCCCATTCGATCCATTTGCGCCGGGGAGAGTTGATATCGTTGCATGTCGGGTAGCACATTGCCGGGGACGCATTGCAAAGTAGCAGAAACAGCATGCCGCCCCAAGCAACGACATTCAGGCCGTAGAGAACGACGAAGAAGCCGAGGGGCGTGCAGGTGTAATTCCAGAATGCTTTTGCGCCAATTTTCATAGACTGCGACTTGGTGTGTGCGGGTGGGAAGTGGTAGCCGTTGTCGTAGGGTTCGTACAGTTCGTGCTCTGCAGTGGCCACGGTAGCGGAGGCGGCACTGGTTGGTATTCTTCCTTCAACATCTTGTTTTTTATCTTCATTAAGGTTGCTGTTATTGCTGTCGGAGAACTTCGTCTCGGTTGTGGACTGATCGGAGTTAGGGTGGTCCAGCGGCGCGTTCCTGTCCTTCTCGCTGCTGTCCAGTGAAGAATCTGGGCGAGACATTGCGTCGGATTCCAGAAGCTTTTGTTGCTGTCTGATATAGACGCCTTCAGGGCCTTCGGTCCCTCGAGACGTATGCTTGCTGCTGACCCAGAAGGAATAGCAACGTGTTTCGGTATCGCCCGCTGCAGATTGGTGTAAGTGCGGCGTGTGATCCGTACAGACGAGCCCCCGTGTGTCGACCGCGAGAGTGTTTCTGATTCGGAATCGTTCGAGTATCTGATGCTGGGTTGAAGACCAGCTGTAAAGATCGATGACGATTCGACAAACAGCGTAGGAAAGAAAGGTCTGGTGCGGTAGGTCCTACTCAAAGTGCTTTTGTGGATAACGATGTACCGCTGGTGTTGTCGAAGAAATGAATAATTAGAGACTAACACAGCAACACGCAAGACCGAGTCGTTGGCAGAAAACTGCTGCCAGGAAGCAGCGACGAAGAACCGGCGGGGGTCAATAAAGGGTATCTTTGAATATCCGACCTAGTAAACGGGAAAGGCAGCTGGCGCGGCGTGGGAGAGGAAGAGTGATTCGGAGAATTCAATCAAAAAAATAAAACAAGGTACGGCGATTGTCAAAGAGGTGTTATGTGGGGGCCGGTGTCGAAGAAAAGCAGGAGAGGAAAGGAAGAAGTGCATGCCACAATGCTGAGCCAGGGTCGGAGGATATAGCAAAGTGCCCAAGAGTCCTGGGGGGGGGGGGGGACGGGCTGGGTCTAGGCCTTTAGTGGTGGAAAGGGGCGGAACATGGGAAATGCGTAATGGAATGAGACGCTAATAAGCACCGACCTTGGGAAGGAAGATTGGACTTCCATTGATGGACGGATGGACTCCCCGTATATGCCTGCCCTGCTAGATGGTAGCCTGTGCCTTGAAGGAGGGGCGGCCAAAGTTCTCCGTCCAGGCGTGACAGGCTGCTTCATTGTCAACCTGTCAGAGGCTAGAGCCTGTTTGCCGTGGGCTACGGCCAATAGACACTGTCCGCATGGAAACGCTGGTGTCCATCTCAAGTGATCTAGGGGCAGGAACCACAAACCAGCCGTCGCAAATCTGGACCCTTACGTCAATACGCGTACGATGGACCGGGAATACACTTTGTTAGGTACTTTGCACGACCACAGCCACTGCAGATTGTGTGACAACACGCGCAGTGAGGTCAGCGACACAACCACACAGCCTGCCTTTCGGTACGTACTCATGACGGGATCTGGGAGGCATGTGCACGTATTTGCCCCAAACCTTGGCTGTTGGTTGGCTCGCGTTTCCGTCGGTTACGTAGGTTGACCAGGATTATCAGAAGTGGACCGTGGATGCCGATGAGCTGTGCTTTGCTCTGTGGGTTTTGTCTCAACTCTTCAGAGCCACAGAGCATTTGAATTTGAGTTGCCGGCCTGCCGGTGGATTCGTTCAGACATTCAAGCTATGACATTCTTGTATAAATGACGATTGCCGCTGCAGCTCTCATATTCAAGTAGTCGCAAGAAATACAATATCTTCTTCTTCTTCTTCTTGGGAATAGGTACCGCAGAATGGATTAAGATAGCAATCATCAACACCAACCATCCCATTCTTGGTTTAAGTGAGACAAGCCAATTAGGATGGGTGAGGAACCGTTGCTGTGTGCCTGGCTAAAAACATCAGCTTGGCCCAGGAGAGAAACATGACGGAGATTCACAAGCCTCAGAGCGGGGCTGAGAATAGGAAACGTAGGTGTGGCTTTGACAAGGCATGGATATTATGCACACTTCGGATCGTTTCGCTCCCTACTTACCTATGACGATGACTACATCCACCCGGCGGACAAGGTGCGCTGGACTAATAACATATGAGTATCTGTAAGGAGCAAATATGCCACAACAAAAACCTTTGTCCTCTTTCTCTGTTCCGCCTGCACCCACAGGCTAAACTGGGTGATTAATTTGCATCGGTAAGGTAAGGTAGGTGTAGGTAGGCACCTACTGGGACCAAACGCCACGGAGGTCCTGAAAGTACCGCAGAAGCCTCTATACGTGCATGATAGTGTCCCTTGATAGATATTTATGCATTTATCGATGACACAGCAAATCGTTTGCCAAGGAGCACCTCTGATTGGCATACCGACAGTCTTATTGGGGCCACTTGTCTTGAGAACCTTGAGAACTCTTCAACGACAACCGTAACAACTTCCTCGGTGACTTTGGTCTTCTCAAACATATATTACGCCCTAGCAACTCCGTTTCTCCAACACCTCATCAAGATTGGATCAGGCGCAATGGCAACCGCAGAACATCTAACCAACCTTACCGATCTGGTCCTTGGCAACCTGCGAGATCAGCATGACTGGACTGATGTCGAGGTTCGGAGTGACGGGAAAAGCCGACAGCGTCCCATCATCACCGGCCTCCCGCCTAACAGGCTGTACATGCACCCAGACGAACAAATTGAGGTCTTGGAAATGGAACAGACCGCCGGCAAGCGCTCGAGCCAGGCCCCCGAGTATGAGTGGGTTCTCCCAGTGCATCTGGGCGAACAATGGACGCTGAGTTCTTTTGCTACAATTTTCGACTCCATCGACACTCTGCCACGAGAACTCGATCCAGCAAGCACCATCGATGGACCCCAGAAGCGGGATTGGCGTGGCACAGATCGTCAAAAGAGACTACTCCTTGCCGTGGTCCACGACGATTCGACCGTGTCTTATTACCTCATTCACGACGGTATCGTCAAGCCAAGACAGAATTAAGGCATTGATCCTATATCTATCTCAACATTCCAGCACCGCAACCGCAAACTCCATACTACTCCTGCTATCATGCTGAGTAGGGAGGCGACATCTTCTCGCTACGAGTTTTGTGCTTTCAATCAAGGAGTGAAAATAACTTTTTGGACCTTCATCTGATCGAACAATGCATATCCCTCAACCGCCTCGCT